TTTATTAAAAACTAGATCATTGGATAATGCAATTCAAGACTTTTTATTGGCTTAGCCATTATGGTATATCAGCCAATATACCATAATCTACAAATATGGTAAGCGTACGTGTCAGCTTAAAATTAAAAGGGAGCTAAAAATTTAATAAAATTTAATAATTTAATTAAATGTTTTTAATAAAACAATTATTCCACTCGCGCTTGTTGGATATGAGATGATTATAGCCAACGAGGCGCGTAGCGCCTCGTTGGCTATCTATCATCTCATATCCAACAAGCGCGAGTGGAATAATTGTTAATTAGATCATACAACTCAAGGATCTATGCTGGTTCATATCTAGGTGACAGTTTCCATGGGCGATGATTATGATGAACAAGTACTCAAAAATGTGCGAAAAACTGCCGGACGATCAAAGAAACTTGTTGGTGAACTTCACAATCTTAAAGCTAAGATTTATTCCTTGGAAAATGATGTAAGGCATATGGGATGACAAACAACAAAATAAGACATTTCTGCCCTCTCTTGTTAAGTTTGGTTTCAGAATCATTTTTATGGCTAATGATTCCTATGGAGGCAAAGTTATAACGTTAATTTATAGACCTCATTTGAACAAGCACGTGGAAAATCAATTACAGTTTTTAACATCTTGTGAATTAGTGTTATTGTCAAATACATGTATCAAAGGTACATTTTTTTAATGTTTGAATAAAAAATTGTCTTCACAGAATATTTTCTTGCCTAATTTAAGGGCTCACATACTCTCAGTTCATGTTATTAACACTTTTAGTTTCAAGAATTACTTCTTACTCATCACCTTACTTTTCCCCTCCAGAGAAAGCCAAGAAGGGGGGGTAGGCTTGTTTCCTTTACAGCAGCTGGGGGGTAGGCTTGTTTCCCTTTACAGCAGCTGGTAGAGGAAACTGTTTTAATAAGGAGCACAACTCATTACCATATTTCACTATGCAGCCTGCTCAATTCAAAAGTTTGTTTGCCGTCTCCCCCTTCTTTGAACCCTGAGATGTAATAAATGTCTTCTTAGTCTGTACTGTAGGTTAGAAAACCTTGTTTTTTCCACCTGCATTTGCAGTCCTTTGCATTTGGGTTTGTAACTTACAGTACAGATCTCAAACTCAGTAAGAGGTATATCTACATCAACATGGTGCAATTTCAAAAATTTATTGAGTTCATAACCCTAATTTACTCATCAAACTAAAATAGAATGAGCAAATTATTATCATAATATATTCAGCAGGCCTTGTCCTGATATTAGAATTACAATCAGATTGATCCTTATTCAGTTCTGTACTCACTCAAAATAGTATATCTAGGCAAAAATAGATTGTTCTCATCCCAACCACATTTTTCAAAAATCCTCTTTATAATCCTCTGTGATCTAGAGTTTACACACCAACAATTCAAATTACTGTCGGGTCTAATCCCTTGTAGTTGATAACAGGTCCAGAAAATGAAAAAAAATAATACCCTTGTTTTCCCCTTTATTAACAATCTTCAGTCTGCGATTGAAAAAAAAACTTTAAAAAGTGAAAGAAAATTAACCCTCTTAAATCCAAGAGTAACCAAGATGTAAATGTCCTTAAAATATTGATACAATATGAAGCAGACATACGACGAGAATAAAGAAAAACAGCAACTGGGTGACATTTCATTTTTTACCAAATTCTTAGAAATAAAATTTCAAGTTACGTTTAGCAGACAGTGAGTAGAATTGCTATTGGGATATTTGGAATGAAAAGGCCTATAGTTACAATCCCTGAGATTCTGTGTATTAATAAGATCTACCATGTTCTCAATAACTTTGTAACACTAAAAATGCCATTTTTTAGCATTTTCATCTAACTAATAACTACAATTGTTTTAATGCTGTAGTTCGTGGGTCAAATCATTTTGCTGTAGAAAACATTTTGATTTATTACTCCACATCATGTAAAAATATCTTGAGTCAAAATCAGTAAATATCACCTTAAGTCAGTGGAAGCCTTTTCGAATGAATGCAAAATAACTACTGTATAAGGTGACACTAGGCAGAATAATTTATGATAATGCCTGCTGGTAACAACAGCAGGAATATGAGGCACATTGCTTTCAATGATATTTTCTTGTTTTGTTTGTTGTTGTTTCCTTTTCTTTTTTTTGTGGCAATAAAAGTCTCTTATGCAGCCTCTTTTTGGTCTTGTCATATAATTTGCCCTTTCCTCTAGGGAAGGGAGTGTGTTGAGTGACAAGATTGAAGAATTGCTGCAAAGTAGACTCAGGGCTCGACACTAACGATAGCCAACTAGCCACAGACTAGTAGCAATTCAGTTTTGGCTGGTGGTTTTCGATTTCCAGTAGCCAGTTTTGGCTTGTAAACAAACTGAAATTGTTGTAACATCAAAGTTGTCACTAGCCACTTAGCGAGTAAGTTGAAAAGTTAGTGTCAAGCCATGATACTACCATACTATAGGTACAGAAATAAGTATAATAACAATTGACAACCAGCTTGTGACTCCTACAACTTGAACAACTACTATTAAACTGAAGAAGATAAATGAGTACAGTATGGAGTAACTAATGTTTGTAAATTAAGAGTCTCCAGTTGAAAGTAGTTCCTAAAAGATTGTTAACTTGTCTTCCTACCGAGTGAGAAGACTTAGCTAGTCACCAACAACATTATGTAAACAATTATGTAAACAAAGTTTAGCCATTCTTGAACAAAATCACATTCCTAGCCATCTTCAATTTGGCCAAACCTTTTATATGAACATTTACTTTTGTTAACAAAGTCAAGAGGGCAGAAAGCTAATGGGGGAAGGACATAAATTTAATGAAATTCCTCTATTAGACAATCTGTGAGGCTGGCCCACTGCTTGAGCAAAACTGCTGTTTGGGTTAGACCAGTGTTCACAGTTTTCTAAGTTTGACTGTTTAAGATCCCTTCTGCGTTAATATTTCAACATACATGTCATTAAATAATGAACAATGCCAAAAAGTTATTAAAATAAAAGTACGTTTAGGCATGTCCTTTCCCTAAAATAATAACAATAATTTTTAAGTAAGGTTCTGTCATTTAAGTACCACTCTCTCCATCTCTGACAAATGAACATCTTCCCGGCTCATGTGTTATATTTCCCTAGATAAAGTAACGAGATCTATGACAACTAATCAAATTTTAAGATTATCTTAGTAGCAAGAATGAGTGAATGGATGGAAGTGACGAGTGAATAGGAAATTCTAAAGGTATTACTGTCATCTGGGAGTTGAACAATTTCTAGCGGGTGAGGAAACAGGGGTCATATTTGGTGAAGGCCTTCCAACACTCTTGCTGTTGTATCTTGAGCGCCATTTTCCAAACAATCCTTTTCTGTTGAGAGTTGAATGTGAGCCTTGAAGATCATCTGACATTGTCTGATCAGAACCCTGCAGAACAGAAAAGAGGGAATTAAAGAAACAGGTGAAGGGGTATCTCACACATAATATGAATGAAGGTTTAAGCTAAAAATGTTGTTTTCCAAAACTCCACCAAAATAAAAATTCATAACCCTTGTCACACCACTCTATCTTGTTCCTTCATAATTCACCTCGGGGTTCATCCTATCCCACGAAAAGCTAACAAATAGATTCCATGTTTACCTGCATCTGTTCGGTAACAGGTTACAGATGACACTAAAATTTGGTAAGGGGCCGACTATTTAACTCTTGAGGAGGGGGGTGGGTGATTTTGAAAAACAATTTCCTGCAAGCGCTTGTTGGAAGAAAAAAATTGCATGCAGCCCCAATGTAACAGAAAAAATGTACCAAAAAATCAGAAAAAATATCCTGCACAGCAGATTGCTAGAAAAAAAAATTTCTTGATGACCAGAAATCACCCACCCCCCCCTCAAAAGTTAAATGGGTCGGCCCCTAAGAACAAAGAGGTGGCACCCAACCACAGCCGAGCACGTCGCTGATGCATTGATCTTATATAGAATAAATGCACAACAAAGTAGAATCTATTTTCAATAATCTGTTCATGTTGTCCTTCAGCAGTATAATTAAAAACATTCAAACTGTTCCAATGAGGCCTTGAACTGCTGTCTAGAAAGTAAATTTTTTCTTTTTTTTTTCTTTTTTTTTTAGAATGTATTTGTTTTGTATGATAAAGAAGACAAAACGTTTGTGAAGGTGGCATCATCCATGCATCTTGAATCCCATATGTCACAAGTAAGAACCAATAATGCATGCATAATTCAGGCTATCATATAATTAAATATCTTAAATGAAATAAAAAGGTAAGAAATAAGAAGACAATATGTATTCGATCAGAGTTATAAAAGTCATATTATGTTGTAATGTATTACAAAGCTTGGTATATGCAATTAGGATGACTCAAAATTCCCTGACATTAACATTAAAATTAAAATTAAACTAAAAATTAACATTAAATTAAAATTAAAATTCCACCAATTAGAACTTTCATTACCACTTTTTCTTTTATACTCACTGATAGAACTAAGAATTCTGGACTTGCTGTCTCTGGATTGGGATTTGTTTCTTTTTCTTTTCTGGTGTTTGCTCTTGGCATCTTTTCTGACCTTTTCTGGATCAAGGTCCACAATGTACTGTTTTTTTGTTTTTTTTTTGTATTACAAGGAATTAGTAGCTGGTTAGCATTATCATCGGAATAAAACATCACTTTACAATTAACTATCAGTACGTTACATTCAAAACATCATTTAATTAAAATAAATGATAAACTTAAATTTTTAAAGTTATAGTGTTAGAAAATAAAAATGAGAAAAGCTGCAGAACTCTAACAATGCATCACAAAGAGATGAAAAAAGGGCAAAAAGGTTGGATGCTTGAAATTTTGACTGCATGCACAAGACTCATTTTTTCCTTTCAGGGGAAGGGAAAGGGGAAGGGCTAGGGTGCAGAATTCAGAGTCTCTTAATTGCATTTAATTTTGTAACAACTAATCTGTTAGGCTCCATGCAATTCAAATTACTATCTCCTAATCTCATAGGTGAGAATGTGAGCAGTAATATCAAAAGTAGCTGCTCAATATTATGGAAAACCAAGGGAGTCTATCCACACTGAAAACCACATTGAGTGAGAACAAGATCAGAACTATGTAAGTTCTCTTTTGTACAGCTATGACTTTATCTAGTAAATAAGCTCTGACCCAATCTGACCTCAATCTCTAACTCAAAATTTACTATACAGTGATTAATTGAAAAAATAATTAATAGCAACTAAATTATCACAAGATTACATTTTGCAAGACCATGTTCTTAAGATTGTACCAAATATAGCACTAGCAGGGGTGAAAGTGATGAAAATGACAGTAGAAATAAACAGAAAACATCTTTTGTAGCACTCATGAGTACTTACTGCTTCAGTAAAAGCACTATCTAGAGATGAAATACTGCTGCTTTTCTTCAGTTCTGAAAACTCTAGAGGCAAACAAATAAATTTAAGTTTAGTAAAAAGCAAATCAAAAGAGTTAGTTTTTATAGAATCAAACAGGAGTTTTTTGGTCAAGAATTACGTAATTTCCGGCCGTTTACCGACACGGCTGATTACCTGCACTGGCCGATTATTGAATGCGGCGAAAAAAAGAGTCAACAGATTACCTGCACTGGTGGATAACCTGCACCTTTAAAGCAAAGGAATTTTGTACAAAAAGGCTCTAGAAATCACAACYTTTCATTCTTGACCGAATGCAAATTCCTGGCCACATTTTGTGCGAGCAATAGTTCAGCGCCATGTTGCTTTGTTGATTTCTCAAAAAGATTGATATCTCCGGTTCTACTGGGCCTAAAAAGTCCCTTAGAAGGAGAAAATTCTCTTCAGCTCAAGCTAGTGTTAACTGGAAATTTGTTACTGATGCGCTGGTTATCTTTGGATTATTTTTGTCACCATCAAGGTCTTGTTTACACACGTGCCGATAAAAATTTGTTCGTCGCGTAACTGTGTGAAATAAACTCGAGTCAGCATCATGTTTTCGTGCCACTTTGTGGCACTCTAAATACGATAAAATTCATCTGAGAGGTGGAAACGCAGGTAGGTGTGAATTTTTTTCAATTCAACTGCCAGTAGATTTCAAAATTGTCACATAACCCGCACCTCCCTATTACCTGCAGTGGCCAGTGTTTAAGGCAAAATCAACAGATTACCTGTGGGTAATTACCGTAGGTGAAGTTTTTTGAAAAACAGCTATGAATTAAAAAGAAGCTTGTCTACTAATTTAAATGTTGAAAACTTTGACATTTGCTAAGCAACCTCTCTTCTGAGAATATTTCTTGCAAAGGTAGGCTATGCTATAGAGTTTCTGACCATAGTAAGTCTGAGATATTGTATGGTTTTTTTGCTTTTAGTTTGTATTTTGTCTACAACATGATTCCAAGTTGCATCTGAACAATGTATGGTCAGTCAGAGTATTAATCAGATGAGGCTAAATGAAATTTAGCCAAGGTTAAAATCAAGGCACGATGGTCAGCGGAGGACAAGCTGCGGGGCGCCCCCTTTGCAATTGCAGGGTCATGAGGTTTTCAGTATGTTTTGAGATAATTGTGGATCTTAACACGAGCTGCCTCTTGTGCTCCCACCCTCCTTCCTCTATGGCGGGTCAAGAGCAGGTAAGTATAAAAACAATTCTACTGACTTGTCAGTGTGACTGGTGCCAGAGGGGGTGGACCGAGGTTGTGTCACCACGGTAACCTCCCTGCTGTGGGCAGTCAGCGCGACTGCCACAGTGCTATGGCACCTTCCTCCAAGCTCATCAGTGCCGATGAGTTTAATTCTTATTAACCGAGCAGGAGGTCTGTACATGGGAGAATCTTGACCGAGGTCGCCAGTACAAACCAAACGCAGTGAGGTCTGTACCAGCGACCGAGGTGAAGATTCTCCCATACAGACCGAGCTAGCTCGGTTAATAAGATGTTTATTATATGGCTGTGTCTTATATGCCAATTTTTTATGTTCTTTGTTCCTTTTTTTTTCTAGACCGGTCTAGATGCCGGTTTAGATGGAAAAATCTATACCACTTTCAATATTGATTTCAGCCAATCAAATTCATGAATTTGGTAGTTCCCAGTCCTTATGAGACACAGCCATATAATAATGGCACATACAAACCTGCCCCTTTCCCCCCCCCACCCCCAACAAAAAAAAACTTTTCCAGAGTATCCCTCTACTTTGTATTAAGCCCTAACTACACACACACCTCCATTCTCGTTGATGTTCAAAAGTGAACTTGACAGTTGTTTTGATCCCATCAAGCCTGTGCCCAAAGACTCCATTGAACTTGCACTGTCAATCAAACTGATTGTGTCTGGAGATGGCTGCTTCAGTTTCTTTGGCAATGTTAATGATGCACGATTCATGTCCACCCCAGATCTGTTGAACCTGTTCCCAAGGTGCTTCTGTTTCTCTGTTGCTGTTAAAAAAAGGTTAGCAATCAAATTCACCTTATGATGTCACAGAGTCATACTTAAAGATAATTTTTGAAATATTACCAAACCCTACACTAGCCATAACCAATCAGGGATCAATGGAATCCCTGTCTTCTATCAGAACTCCAGTGCCACTGGTAACTGATTTTTCCCTTTCGACAACTTGTAAAACTTTGCTTCTGTATTTATCCTTAACAAGGTACAGATCATACTTAGATAATCAATCTTACAGGGGTTTCATTAAGGGCCAGGCACCGGCCAAACTGACAGGTTGTAAGGACGGTTTTGCCCACCTGGTTTAACAATCTGGAGGAAGGTTTTTCTTATAAAGAAGTTTAGTTCAAAAAGTTTTGCCCGCCTGTGAAAACCAGTTGCCCTCCTGCTGAAAACATTAATGAAAGCCCTGATCTTATCATTAATTTGTGAGAATATGTTGTCTGACTATTTCATTTCCCAGACATGATTGTCTTGAGCTTTTTTGCAGTAAAAGGAGATAAAGCAGGCTGACATCATAACAATTCAACCTAAGATAAATTGTGAATAGCTTGATCAAGCAGTCAAACAGTTACTTACTGATTCGGTCACTTTCCATTTCATTTGTCTGTACAAAAAAACAAACAAACAAACACATTCATCGGGAAACTGTCAAACATCAAAACATTCCAAATTCCAATTTTGACCTGGCAACAGTGCGTGAAAAGAGCCATCTTGTGGAATGTCCACTGCTAAATTATTATTGATATTAAATTAAATATTATTAATCACCCAAATGTCAATGGAGCAGTAACTACTTAAAAGACAGAATACAAACCTCCTCTATGCAGTCAACAAGTTCATCAACAAACACCTTTCTTGTTTCTTCATCCCTTGCATTAAAATAAGCCAGAACCTATAAAATGATACCATGTTCTAAGTAATGCTGTGACTCTACTAAGCAACAGAGGACGAATTGTTAACTTCCAAAGAAATTAGGTAGAATATGACTGTGGCTTTGGTATTGAATGGTGTGTAAATCAACCCGAATAGTTCCAAACATACCCTGCTATCTAGCTTAGAGTAAATCTGTATTCCAAAAGGGTAATCTACGAAGGAAAGTTCAACAGCAATTGTAAATCAACCTTGAATTTGACTCAACAAATTTTCTGGGCCCGGTTGTTCAAAGCTGGGTTAAGATAACCCAGGATTAGCGTGAAATTTGATTTCAGATCTGAAAGCTTTAAGAGAAAGTTCAGTTTAATTATTTTGTGTCAACAGTTTGATGATTGGATGCTCTAAAAAGATCAGGGAAAATCATCTCAGAAAGGTTCTTGAATAGAGAAATAAGGAAACCTGAGTCAAAATTTAACCCTGGGTTAGCGCTAATCGGCCTTTGAACAACTGGACCCTGAGTTCTAAGTAATATATAGCTTTGACTGTTAGAATATATTAGAGAGGTTTGTCCTCCAGTTGGATTTGCCACATGAAGCAAATTTAGATTCTTTTCGATTCACTGCTTATGCCTACAGTCCAGACATTATGATCTAGGTTTCTTGCCCTTTACCCATTTCACTCTCATGTGAGACCAAGACAGAATTTCTCTTTAAGAGGTCAATACAATATCAAGCAGACAAGACTAGTGATGACAATAAAGGAAAATATAAATTAAGGATCATGAGTTGATCCAATACCAACTTCTCCCAACTAACATCATGAGAATTGTATGGCAGAAAGTAAGGAGAATTACTAATTAAAAGAGATCTTAGGAGTGGAAGGAAGGAAGGACACAACTGGTACATTACTTACAGTCCCTTGAAAAGGTGGATACTTTAACTCCACACAAGGAGAAGGAGAGCTTGTAGCTGTAATAATGTATCCCCTCTCCACGACCAGCTCTACCTCGTTCTTTAGTGGCCTAAAAAAGATTTATTTGAAAAGAAAGCTTCCAAACTGATCTTAAAGTGCCAAAGCTCAAAAAGATCACATACTTTTGTTTTGTTCTGAATGTTCCTATTACTAATTATACTAAAGAATAAAGGCTGATAGTTTCTAAAGAAACTGTTTGGGGCTGCATCGGTGGGGGTAACGAAATAATTTGGATATATCAACAAAGTTGAAATGGTAAATTGGCCACCGTAAGGATTACAAAAGCTGACGTTTCGAGCGTTAGCCCTTCGTCGGAGCGAATAGAGGAATTGTGGGTTGTGTGTGCTTTTAAAGGCAGAAAATGGAGCTACGTTATTGGTGGG